AGTAGTGTGGGTGGGGCTTGTAGGGGTAGAGCTGGCAGTATGGGTGGGGCTTGTGGTAGTAGGGGTGGAGCTTGCAGTAACATGGGTGGGGCTTGTAGGGGTAGAGCTGGCAGTAGTGTGGGTGAGGCTTGTGGTAGGGGTAGAGCTTGCAGTAGTGTGGGTGGGGCCTGTGGTAGTCTTAACAGAGCCTATAGAAGTTAAGGTAGAGAGCATTTGTGGTGGGTGGATGGGGCTTCTGATAGTGTGAGTTGAGCATGTGGTAGTGTAGGTGAGGCTTACAGCACTGTGGGTAGGACTTAGGGCACTATGGGTGGAGCTAATAGTGGTATGGGTGGGGCCAGGCAGTTCAGAAGTACAAGAGACTGGGTCTGGTGGTTCAGATGGGCCAGGGTTTGCCAATTTGTGGGTTGGGCTTATGGTGGAACGACCAGGGTCAAGGGCAGGAAGAGTAGGAGAGACAGGACCAGCGTGCTCCCCATGGATGGGATCTAGGTTGGCAGGTGGGCTAGGTACTCGACCTAGGTTCTCCAGGCCCACAGCCTCCACTGAAGTTTCTGCCAAGGCAGCATCCACACTGGCCTCACTGATGTGGCTCAGTGTCCTGCTGTAGGGGGCATGTCCATTAGCCAGGGCTGGGGCCATGGCCCCCTCCTCATTCATGAGCCCAGCAGTAGGGGTCTCAGGCCTACAGAAGGCGACTTGAATGGGCAGGGGTTCAGGTTGCTGCACCAGGGGTCGAGGGGCTGAGGAGTGGCGGGCAGTGCCTGAGAGCTGTGGGCTAGATGAGTCATCAGAAGATTCAGATGACAGGGACCATGCTGTCCCATTCTCCAGCTCCTCCTGTCGTCGCAGCATATTCTGGGAGAGAGGAAAGGGCATTTCAGGACTGCCCCAGGTTCCCCTAGGAACTGTGAGGTCAGGGTCTGGGCTCTGACTTACATAGAAGGCCTGCTCCCGAAGTGAGGGTGTGTCTGGTGGGCTCTGGCTATAAGTGGAAAAGCGTTTGGTGACTGTGGAGGCCTTGTTGACACTAGAAGCAGCTGAGGGCTGGTCATCCTTGTCAAAGGGACTGAGGAGGGAAGGACTGTTAGCAGGCTCCACAGCATCCAGCTTTGCTCCCCAGCCTCCCATACCTCTCAACCCCACCAACCTCCATATGACTTCCAGGCTAAGTTTAATGGTGCCGAGGTCATTGATATCCACAGCCACAACCTGGGGCAGGGCAGCAAATAGGTCCTTGGTCTCACAGGAAACGCTGCCCACGATCACGTGGTTGGCCAGGCCCTTTAACTCTGTCACCTGTAGCCAAGAGTGAACAACAGGATCACAACCGTGTCCTGGCCATCAGATGGGAGATCAGAGGTCTGAATTGGCAGGTCACAGAGATTATGAAAGGATTCTTTCATAGGAACATGGGGAGATCCAGGGATTGGAGTTCTCATGTATATGGAGCCATTGAGGTTTAAAGGAGTCTGGGAGTATGGGGCTTACAGATGTTTGAGTTTGAAGCCTTAGTGAGGCTGTGGGGTCATAGAGTTTCATGGGATCAAGTAACCACAAAATCAGGATCATGAGGAAGACACAGGTCAAAGGAGTCATGAGGTCAAAGAAGTCACAAAGATTGTCATTTTAAGGCCACAGAGATCATGAGGAAATCACAAGGTTATGAAGCTCTGAAACAAAATTCCCACTGCTATCTTTCTCTATTGGAGCAGCTGGTGATCCTGAACCACCGACCTTTTGGTTGGTAGCCAAGCACTTTAACCTCTGTACTACCAGGATTCCTGTTATGAAGGTCAGGGGATCACACTGTTATGAATTGAATTATGTTCCCTCCAAAACATGTGTTGTAAATCTTAAATCACTAATCTGTGGTTATAATTCCATTTGGGAACAGGTTGTCTTTGTCATGCTAATGAGGCAGGATTAATGTAGGCTGTGTCTTGCATCACTCTCTTTTGAGCTAGAAAAGAGACTAAAGCAAGTGAGAAAGCAGAGATGAGGGAAGACACACCACGCCACATGAAGCCTGCCCAGGAGCACAAACTCAGAAGAGACAGGATCTTCCTCCAGAGCAGACAGAGAAGGAAAAACCTTCCCTCTACAGCTGACACCTGAATTCAGACTTGTAGCCTCCTCAACTGTGAGAAAATACAATCTGTTAAAACTACCCACTTGTGGTATTTCTGTCATGGCAGTACTATAAGACAGCAAAGGAGTCTTAGGGTCATGGGGATTGGAGTGCTCAGATTCCTGGGGTTATAAAGAGATCACAGGGGCATGGTGTCTTGTGGTCCTGGGCAGGGTTATTACCTTGATGGAAAGGAATTCCGTGAGCAGAGGCAGAAAAATGGTTTCCTCACTGTCCCACACCTGCTTCCCACTGCCCTCGATGCGGCCCCGTAATTTCCAGCGCTGACGTCCATACTTCATGCAGATCTGGGGAACAAGCAGGATGAGGACAGCCCTTGGTGTGCGACCTTGCCATCCGGCCCCTCCCTGCACATCCTCATACCTCATACTGATCACCCACACACAGTCTAGCGAAGCCGGCCAGCCCTGTAGATAGGGGAGAAATAGAAAAGCCATGCTGGGAGGGGTCCCAGGAATACCTCATCTGTCACCCATCTGCCCCCATGATCAGTACCTTTCATCCGTAGATGGAACTCGCCCAGCTGTGCTTCCAGCTCGCTCTCCAGCACACACATGCTCTAGGAGGGAGTGGGCAGGGTGTAAGTGAAGAATTAGCCCCTCTCTGCTCAGCTCTGCCACTCTGCCTAAAGGACACCCATCCCTCACCTCTGTGTACTCTCGATGCCCTCGAGTGGCTTCAGCCAGGCTGTCTCGGGCCTCTCGACTCCCTGGGGACCCAGTGGTGTAAGCACGGACCATATTGGAGGCACCATCCCGGAGACGCCTCTGGACACAATATGCCTCATACAGCTCGTCGATCTGGGCAGGTAAGCGGGCTGGCAGTGAGGGGACTGAGACTCAGTAACACCCCCACTCCACATCTCCCCCTGAAACCCCATCCTGCAGACATGAACACATGCTGTACACATACCTTGCTGGCATGGAACTCCAGTCGTCGCAGGAAACGTTCAATGGACTTGACTTGCTGGAGGAGAGTTGGGTCAGGAGTGGCCTGAAGTCCAGGGTCCATTGCCTTCCCCACCAGCCCCACCCCCCCTCTATCACACTTACCTTATCTAAGTCATACAGGAAGCCCTACAAAGGGAGATTAGAAGGAGTGCTTAGGAGGCATGGAGAGGACTCCAGCAGGGGTGCCTGCCCACTCAGAACCAACACAACTCTTGACACTTATAACCTTCCCTCCTCTCACACAGCAGCCTACAACCACTCCTGTCAGCAGGGATTAGCTCTTCTCACACTCCATCTGGCCTTTGGCAGATGCTGATGGCACAGTGCTGGTTTCCAGTTTCCCCTCCCCACGTCTTCTCTGGTCCCATTCACTCCCTTTCCTGCAGTTCCTGGGAAGAGCTCTGTGCCTCTTCATGCATGGCTCCCTCTGCTAAAAAAAACTCCTATTCATCCTTCAGCACACAGCACCAGCAGCAGTGCCTGCTGGGAAGAAACCACAGCTCTCTCCTCAGTACCACCACAACATAATCTTCTGTAGTCTATGTCTGTGTAGTCTGACACACCCAGATGGAAGCTCTGGTAGGCAGATGCTGGGTCCTGGGCAGCAAGTATGCACAGCAAAGAACCCCAGCCTTCCCTGATGTTCCTTTTCCCAGTCACTCCTGGACTAAGTCACCCCAGAAAACAGCTCTGATGTCACCTAGGCTGCTTCTGCACAACCCTCACACCTCATACCCCACAAAGGCAAAGGGCATCAGTGTAGTTCATCCCTCACCAGCCGGGAATTCCTCTTGGACTCTCTTATCTGTCCCTGGAGTTTCTCCTGCTCCTGCTGGTGCACTTCCAAGTAGGCCCTGGGGAAAGGAGAGATAATAGTTGGCTGATATCTCCAGACTCCCTTACTTGGGGTGCAGTCAGTAGGAAGAAAAGTTACTTGTAGTAGAAGAGATCCTGGGAGAAGGGTTAGTAGGAGTTGCTTACGTCAGGCCCCGCTTGAGCGCTGCATACACTAGGTCCAGCCGTTCAGGCTGTGGCACCTTGGGGGCTGGGTGTGCCACAGAAAACATCCTAGATACTCGGAAGAGTGTTGGGGGTTTCCGTGGAGGCCCTGGGGGGCTGAAGGCCTGGAAGCTCCTGGAGAAAAGGCTGTCCTCAGAAAGGGGAGAACAAGAGTACCCCAAGCCCTCACCACACCCCATTCTACACTCCTAACCCCATTAAATCCTTGTACTACGTACCTGGGCCCCCGATCGTGGTTACCGAGGACGCCTGCGAAAGACTGGCTTCTACTGACCCGGGCGCTGAGCAGGCGGCGCTGAGGCCGTACAGACAGAGACATCATGGAATGAGTCCTTGAGGGGCTCCCTGGGAAAGGGGGTATTCAGCTCCAGTCAGGTCCCTGAAGCCTTCTTCCCGCAGCCTGTCCTCAGGCCAGGGACAGGTCCTTCCCGGTCACCAGATACTGCAATCAAGAGGGCTCCGGCCTCTGCCCTGCAGACCAGGGTCTGCCTCTGGGTGTCCGACTACCTCGCCAGCCCCGATACTAATGACAGGGCGACAACGGGCGACTCAGCCTCGGACTCAGCGTGGCCTCAGCTCGGCCCCCGCTTCCTGCCAAGGTGCCGGCTCCGCCTGCCGCGGGGCAGGAAGGGGGGTGTCGCTCGAGGACCCTCCCCCACCCCCCC